GCAAGTCTCTCTCTTCTCTCGTCTCTCAGTTCATGCAAAGTGTTTATTTAATTTCCCTGTAATAAAAAGATCCAGTCTTCTGATTTAAATAACCCAGTGTCCGTAAGATGGGATTCATACTAGATATGAATCTTTAATGTCTTATGGTCATTAATTAAATGTAATTCTAACCCATTACAGGGCCGAGGCTCTGGAATGAGCTACCTACATGTGTTAAACAGGCCACCACGCTCAGCAAGTTTAAGAGCCAGCTGAAAACTTACTTTTATTCTTTAGCTTTTATTCAAGGAGAGCCTCGTTAATGGATGGCTTTGCACTTTTTTGCTGCCCCACCTAGATTTTATCTGCATGTTTTTGTTGGTTTTTAAATGGTTTTATTTTTTTTTAATGTTTACTTCTGCTGTGCAGCGCTTTGTTTGGTCCTTGGGCCATGTGAAGGCACTATATAAATAAAGTTTAGTAGCAGTAGTAAACATCTTTCAGTTCATGCTTGAATAAGAAAAATAGGCTAAAATGTTCTGACCAGCTGGTTAGGGTTAACTAAACAAAAGGTCTATTTTATTCTGCCCTTTAGTTTTGCGGTTCTACTCCAAGACGTTGACAAATCGAATGCGTGGAGCATCAGAACATTTCCATTCATGCATTTGAGAACATTGAACTAAAACGTTATTAGCAAACATTTGACTTATTAATCGGAGAAGCTTCGTGCTGCCTGCAGGAATTTGTTTGATCAAACCAGTTTTACACGAAGACAGACAGGAATGTTGCTGGGAGTCGTTTAGAAGTTACAATCATTTTTCTATTTTTAGGACACGTTCTTTCGAGCTTCGGCTAATCACAAACAGCAGTGGAGCGAAAACCAGAGCACAACAACAGCTGAGTGGTTTCAGAGCCAAAAGACACATTTTACTGGAGAAAAGTATTAGTATCTCCATGTTTGTGACACGAAGATGCATCATTAGATCCAGAACCTTTCTCTTGCAGCTGATTTATTAGCAGATGGGTGTCGTGCACTTTATGGATACCACAACTCTAGCTAAACACCTTGTGATGTGTTTTTCTACAGTTCAGTTTAGTCTTTCAAAACTAATCTTCACACTGAAGTTCTGTAAACTAGTTGCAGCACAGATACATCCTCTTTACTCCTATAAACCCCATAAAACCACTTCTGCCTACATCTTCCAGATGGAGCATCAGGATTAGTACCTTCATCAGAACCTATTCATGTCTACTGCCCCCTGGTGGATGTAGCGTGGTTAGAATTAACACTGTTTGCTATCAGCTTTGTTAAATTCAGAGAAAAGCTCAAACAAGTTAACAATGAAGCTTCTATCACATATAAATATCTAGGATATTATATATTCGATAGAAGTTCACATGCCAACGAGCTTGGTCTTTTTTTAATCCAAAAATTAATGTTTAATTTTAAGATAATTAAATTTAATAGCAAAAGTTTATTTATTTAATCAGAAGTTTAAAGGAATCTTTGCTTTTTCAATAACCAAAAATATATACACCATTTCTGTGTTTCATTTCAAAGAAAAGTCAAGTTTCTAAAGTTAAGAATGTATTACTAACACTTTTAGAAATGACAATTTTTGAATAGACAATTTGATATTAAAACTTGTTTAAAGGCAAACCTGTGACTGAATGGAAGCTAAAATAAAAATGCGAGTTTTTGAATGCGTGAATGAATATCAGGTTTCTTTCAGAGAGAGAAGCGTTCTGGGTGGTAAAGTTGATTTTGCAGATAACTGAGTTGGTTTTATCGAAAACAGCATGCAGACGCAATCTGTCGAAAGTGTCTACCTCACCCAGTATGAGGAGACCCTCTTCTGGATCCGAGATGTGAGGTGGAGATGATGTCCTCCGGGCACGAGGTTGGTAGAAGGACCTTAGTGCGACTCAAATCGGTCCTGAGATGTCTCCGTGGGTCACTCGCCTGGTGAAACGATTTGCATCTCAAAATCAATAACTCTGAAGGAGATTTGCGTCAGCTGTTTACAGTTGCGTTTATTCGAAGCAATTCTATCGGCGTGACAGAATGATAGTAGAGACTTGGGCGGCCGTCCCTCGTCTGCTGGTATGGTTCAAGAACTGAACTTTTTGCTGCGGGATTTGGTTTTAACAAAACCCTCAGAACACGTCCTCTCAACGTCAGAAAGCTTGGTCATGAGATAACGGTGAGGTGTTTTACTCTTTACCCTGGATACCCTCTGTGTGTGGTGGTTAAACGTGCAAGATGACCATCTGGTTTGCTGAACACACATAACCGATCATCAACAATAATTATATTATTCAAAGCATAATAAGTCATTTCGGTAATTAAAATACATTTATACTGAACCAAGAGATTATTTATGATGGTTGTAATGAACAGTAATTAAGTCATAGAGTTTATTAAAATTATTATTGTGAAGCTTGAAGTGTCCTTCATCTTGGGACGGAACAGCAGCAGATGAAGATGTTTCAGCAGACATCACGGCTCCTGGCGAGTTAATCAGTGGGCAAAGTTACAGCTCGACCCAGCTTGACCCAGCTGGGAAAATGTGGCCTTTGTCACAAATTAGAGGCCATTCATGGCGCTACATAGTTATATTAACATTAGATAATATGTAATTCAGTATTAAAAACAGGTTTTAATCTTTTAACTGGTTTTAAAGGCAAAGCAGCTTTATTGATTTAGCACAATCCCTAGAAAGAAGCATTTCCAAGGGTGAGATATTTCAGATTTAGCTCCTCGTAACAATAACGGGAAATGAAAAGTTTAAAGTAGCTTTTGAATGACATTTCTTCTCAAAATATTTCAACACAAATCCTAAAATTTTATTTAAATTATTTATAAAGTGAATAAAGAAACAGAGGAATCGTAACTCAAACTTAGCCTGGCAAGCCAGACTTTATATGTGAATATATAGTCTGATAAGGAGATATATAAAAATATCTATATTTTATATATATAAATGTATTTGCAAAGCAAGAATTTGGTCTAGTTCACTAGGCTAACTCAAACTAGGAATGTTGAAGCAAATGTTTTAGGAACAGTTTGAATTATGATTTTAAAAACTCCAAGAAATGAACAATCTGCATGGGACCTCCCAGCGCATCAGATTTGATAGTCTTACCAACAATCCCAACAATCGCTGAAGCCTTTAGCCATCAGCTAAGCTCTATATCTCCTTTAGGGTTAGGGTTAGGGTTAATGTGTTTATTTTTAAGGGTTTCTGTTCAGGCAGCGTGGAGTCGCTAGAGGCGTTCCTCAAGGATCATCTCTGGGGCCTCTTTTATTTTCTATCTTTATTAATAGTGCACCTACGATGTACTGCATGCTCAGTTCAACTATATACTGAAGACGCCATATTACCCAAATTTTGGCTTACAGGAAATTCAAGAGTCTCTTCAGTTTAATTTGGACAAAGTCCAGTATTGGTTAGGACAAATAAAGTACTTTTAAATAAATAGAAATCTTATTCTATTATTTGTCCGATAAATAATTCCACCACACCTCTGAGTTTAACTAAAATTTCCTGGATTCATCCAAGCTTAACACCTGAGAAAATAAAATACTTATATGATGTATCCCTTTATTTGGTGTTTGGCCTGAACCTGCATGTTCTGCTTGCTAGAGTGTAACTGTCCTCTGTGCCGACGGCTCTGCCCACAACCCAGAGGCCAATAGTTAATGAGCTACTGCTAGGTACTAGAAAACGGCACAGGTTTTGGGATTGTGACTAGTTTAAAGACCACTGAGAACCATTTAAATCAGCTAAAAAGATTATTAGAGTGGGGCTTTAAGAGGCATGAAAAAATGTTTTAAGCTCGCTAGAGTTGCAGATTTGCTATTGCAGTTTTGACATTTGGCATGAGTAATCCGTCAGAAAACCTGCTCTGGTAACGGCGGCGGTTTAACCAGCAGTCTGTGGGTCTCGGTCACATTCTGGCCTGGTTTTTGAGCACTCTTGAAGATAAAATCCAACAATTTCTGCAGATTAAACTCTTCTTCTGGAAGACTTGGCAGTGATCCTGTGCGTATTGCAGATACAAATGCATTTTTTGGGCTCTAGACTAATAAAGAAATGACTTCCTCACAACAGGAGATTAACCCCCCTGCTAGCTACATGGAGAGACTGGGTCTCAGTGTTTACAGTCCAGATCCACATATACTAGCTGGATGGGGAGAAGCAGACGTGATGACGCAGTAACAACCCATCCAGCTGAATACATTAGCTTGGCATAAATGTGCAGAGCTGAAAAACAGGAAAATGCACGCAAGAAGCAATCACGGTCCAAAACTCAAGTGGATTTTACACGATAAAGGACTTTTAAGTGCTCGCCCCGTAATCTGAAGATTGCAGGTTTGAGCCCCGCTCAGTCTGTCACTGTCGTTGTGTCCTTGGGCAAAACCTATATTAATGTCAATGGGCAAGACACTTAACCCCCCCCCGCTGGGGGTGGTCGGAGGGACCGGTGGTGCCAGTGCAGCTGTGGCTACATCATAGCTCATCCCCACCGGGGTGTGAATGGGTGAATGACTGATTGTGTTGTAAAGCGCCTTGGGGGGTTCCAGAACTCTAGAAGGCGCTATTTCAAATTCAGGCCGTTTACTTTAAATGTCACAGATTTTATTCCAGACATTTAGATGTAAATTTCTACATTATGAATCTATTGTAAACATTTATTTTGACGCTAATTTTTAACAAATGTAATAACGTGTTTTTAATATTTTACAATTGCGTGGAGCCCCATGATGATGTTCTAGATTAAAGATGAGTGGAACGTGAATACTAATTCAACCTTAACTTTACTCTTTGTTTTCTCCTCATTAAAAAGGCTGTACTTTTGGGGTTTCTGGTTATTTTAATTCTATGCTCCTAAAGAGTGCTTAAGTGCGCCAGTTTACGCTGCGCTTCGCTGTTTGTTTGTTACAGATGTTTTTATGCCAATTGGGATTTGACTGACGTAAAACTGGAGTTTGAAGCTGGAAGTGCGGCGGTGAAAGAGTTAAAGTGTCACATGGGAGCGGGTGGTATTATCAGCCCGGGGCTCCAGAGAAACAGTGTGTGAGGGAGAAAAAAAAACACCGGGAACAAAGAAATCCGAGTCTGTTTAAAGAGAGAGAGAGTCAGTCTGCTCACCGCACTCTGCTGCGCCAAAAGCCAGCAGCGCGGCTCCGCACGGTGGTGAGGATGCGGACTTCCCTGCTCATGTGCTGCTGCGTCTTTGCGCTACAGAGTTTCCGCAGCATGGTTGGTTTCCCGGTGCGCACTGGCAGCAGGTTCAAACCGGTAAGTTCCCATCCGCTCCACCGCTCAACGTTTGGGTTTGTTCAGAGTTTTAAACTTTGGAAAAACTTTGTTTTTAACTTTCTTTACTCGCGTGACTCTGAACGTGCGAGAACACACACACACACACACACACACACACACACACACACACACACACACACACACACACACACACACACACACACAGGCGCAACAGACTGCAGTCGTTTAATTGTGCACGATATGGAGAAACGAACAGCTGGGAAGATTTGCGCATTGTGAACATCATTAGGCAACTTCAGGCGTTGCTATGGAGATGTGACCATCACCGGTTTTTTGTCTGCTCAGCATCAACCAGTCCCGAGTTCGCAGGCAAACCTCACGCGCACGGATGACAGCAGGGTGTTTTGGTTCCTGATGGAGGAATTAGTGGGAATACATGATGGCAGGAAGCTATTAGAACATTTTGTTGTTTTGTCAACAAGAGCTTGAGAGGGAGCCATCCTGACGACGTCACTCTGACGCCATCAGGTGTTTTATTTTATTATTCTACTACTTGAATTAGCTCAAGATTTTCTGATATTGTTTTTTTTTTTTTTTTTTTTTGCCTCTCATTTCGTCTCAGGTTACAAAAATTCCTGAACAAATATTTAGTTTGTTTACAAACGCTTGCTGGCTTGGTTCTGGATCAGGAATGTCCTGTTTACAGGTACGCACCACCAACAGGCCCACTGCAAAAATAATGACAGAGAAGAATGCAGCGGCTGCACATAATAGTTGATTTATTGTGAGATGTGGTTAATTCCTGCCCCAAACAGCAGGGGGGGCAGTTTGGGGCAAAGCTGCATCACATCTCGGGGGGGGGGGGGGGTGGGGGGGGGGGGGGGGGCTGTAAACACCAGAAGATCGGAACATCTGTCAGCCTGGGAATAACAAGCTTGTTAGCTTGAGATGAAAAAGGACAAATTGATTACCTGAAGGTCTTAATCTGGGCTCTCATTGGAGTTAAATTCATGTGGGAACAAGTCAGCAGCGAGTTAGAAGCAAGTCAGCAACAAGTCAGCGGCAAATGAGCAAAGAGTCTGCAACAAGTCAGCTACAACTCAACAACAAATCAGCAAGTCGGCTACGAGTCAGCTAAAGGGTTATCAGCGAGTCAGCAGCTAGTCTACAGCAAGTTCAAAACAAGTCAGCAAAAGGGATTCAGTGGCAAGTCAGCAGCGAGTCAGCAGATCTGAGTTTGGAGTTGTCCAAGCACAATTAAGCTTGGTTTATGCTTGACGCATTCACTTTCCGCTTGGTGGTGCGGCTCGCGGATGGAACGTGCTTCACAACTGGCAGCGTTTACGGTTCATGCGGCTTGTCTCTGCGGTGAGCCAATATTCTCCCAAACTGTAGGGGGCAGCATGGAGCTCTACGGCATGCATCCAACACTACACCATAGTAGAAGTAGAAATTACTGTTTACAACATGGCATTCCAGCATTTTTTAACAGCGTCCTCGTCTTTTCCGACAGTGCGAGCTATTTCTCTCCAAGAATTATTAACAACATGTTGATCACAGTGATCTCTGAGAGCTAAATCATACAAATGTCTGTGTTTACGAACCTCTGCCATACTAGTTCTTGCCAGTCTGCCATGTTTTTCCATGTTCAACCGTCCGCGTGGTTAGTAGTTATGGGAATTCCGGCTCTTTTTAGAGAGTTCTTTTGGCTCCTCAGATTTTCTGTTGCGTAGACTACATTTAGAACCAAAATAATGCAAAACTATATGTAAAATGATTTACTAATGTAAAAAAATGCTATATATCAAACATTTATAATTTCTATGGATTTAATAACTGAACACTTTAAGAAATCTCCACTTTCCGACTACTGGCGCTCATTTTCTCTCCGTCTTCGTCGCACTCTCCTCTCTCTCTGTCGCCTTTTTCCTCCTCCTCATCCCCTCTTGTCTCCCTCCACCCGCATGTGCTGTGTGTCTGAGTCTGATCCTCCCTCTTCCCCACCCCTACTGCTCTGTGTGTGGACAGTCTGGACATGCAGTCACACATGTTGACCAATCGCCTGTAGCTTTCACCAATGCAAGAGGGGAGGGGACGGCTCCCCATGACGAGCCGGCTCCCGCCGTTCACTTCAAAGAGCCGGCTCTAAGAGCCGGTTCGTTCGCGACCGACACATCACTAGTGGTTAGAAAATTTCCTAGGCGCACGGTGCGGAAAGTTTGGGCCATGCGGA